GAAAGAAAGAAAGAAAGAAAGAAAGAAAGAAAGAAAGAAAGAAAGAAAGAAAGAAAGAAAGAAAGAAAGAAAGAAAGAAAGAAAGAAAGAAAGTCAATAAGAAATAAATCTACTTTTTTTGCTAACCTCGTACAGAGCAAAACCGATGGTCTCCATGTCTTGGCCCTCTTGCCGTTTCTTCCTGCGGTCCTTTTGCATGAGGGCAACCACAAAGCTGCAGTCTGGATTGCCCTGCATGTCTGGGTTCTGCAGCATGATCTTGAACTGAGGATTCAGCCAAAAACTTGCTGGAGACAAAAGATGAAAAAGTTAAAGTGTTTCCTTTTCAGGCTATAAACTGATGTTCAGTAACAAGGAACAAAGTGAGCTAATGTACAGCCTGCTCTGTCTTATTAAACACTGAATGACATTTCTGTGAAAGATAATCACAATTAAAAACAAATTAACAAGATACATCACATGTGAAGAGACAATAACCACATAACCCTCAACACCTATTTATACTGCAGTAAATCCTGAAAACAGTCCCATTTTCTGCATGTCCTGGTAGAGAATCTCCAAAACCTTTTAAAAGACAATACATTGTTTCATTGCTTAAATAGAAGTCACTGGTTCACATTCCTTCAGGAAGTTAACCCAATCCCTTCCTCACTCAATCTTCCAACTTGCCTTTTTTGATTACAAAAATTCCTGAAGTAAAAATTGTATTAAGCAGAATTAAAACACCACGAGACACGGGTCTGGTGAGATGCAACAACTGTCCATGTCCTACCCTGCGATTTTCCCCTTCTTCTCACTTGCACCACTAATCTTACCTGGGTAGTTCCTGCAGCCTCCGGCTGTGCTGCCTCTCCTCCACTCCCCCTGAAAAAGTGAGGAGCTCCATTTCTTCATCTGGCTGTTCTGCAGGGCGTCCGCCGTCAGGTTGCAGATCTCCAGACGAGAGAACTCACGCAGAAAATCAGTATATGACATCCTGAAAGATTCGATTTTATCGTTAGTTTTCAATCATTAAGTCCAAAGATGGAACCTCGTTTCAGTGCTGAAGAAAAACAGACAATTCAAACAACTTCAGTACTGTGCAAAAGTCTTGAGTCACCCCTCATTTCTTTATAGTTTGCTTCCAAAGAGGAAGACTTTGTCATCATTAAAGTGAGCATTAGCTCTCCTGGCTCTCTGCAGGTGTTTCAATGGGCTTCTTCATTCTCAGTTCAGCCCTTGTACTGGATTATTTTTCAGAGGAATATTAAGACACTTAACACTGACCTCGAAATCATTTAAGCATTAAAAAGGCATGCAAGGGATGACTCAGTGTTATGTCTAGACATAAGAGACTGTCACAAAAAAACCCCAAATTGTTCCCATTTCTTTAATGAATCTATAAAACATCTCAAGTATATCACTGTCTGACAGCACAAAATTATATTTTTGCACCTTATGAGCTGAAGACTTGCCATGTTTTAGCTGCGCAGTATATCCTGAAGGATTTGGGGGAAAATTTGAGATGTTTTTTTCCCCCATTGTAAGTATTTCCAAGCATGTTAGCACATATTTCAATAAATCAGTCAACCCATTTCCCATTTTCCTGGCAAAATTTGAAGACATGAGGACTGGTTTGAGACTTTTGCCCAGCACTTTACTTCTGGATGGACAGACAATCCACATTAGACCCACCACTCCAGTGACAAGTCTCAAATGTTTCACGCGCAAAACACTCGCGTACACTCACCAGAATTCACCATCCTCGCTGCGGTTTTGGAGACGACTTCTGGCAGACGGATCAATAGAGTCCCACTCTCTGGCGCTGAAAGTTTAAAATAAATAAATAAATAAATAAAAAATAATTAAACTGAAGTCCTGGACCCAGTAAAACAGCTGGAAAATTCCTTTCAGTGCCATCCAGGCTCAAAGGAAAACTTGGTGATTCTTAATTGCATAGAACAAAATAAAGAAATCATACTCATCACTCCAGGCTCCGGTCCATTCCACTTCTCCCCAGGGGTTCCTGATGCGAACCAGCTTTGTCATGTTTCCTCTGTACGACACCTACATGCAAAGAAACACACACACACACACATTCATGTTTTCCATCTGCTTCACTTGTTCTTCTTTTTAGTATCCTGCACACATTTGTGTGACTTGGGTAACATGACAGAAGTCAAGTGCAATGTCTGATTTTGTATTAATGTTTTTCCGTACTGCAAAGGACGCTTGTGCTGTGCCCAAAACAAGAGCCAAAGAGAACAAATTCAACACAATTTCATTTACATTTCTTTATAATATGCTGTACGTATGGGTGAAGGGTGAAGGGAAAGCAAACATGAGGAATCTGTTTTGCCCGTGCAAAATAAATGCGCTGCCTTCTTGGTTAGGAAAACTCGCTGGTTAAACAAATGTCAAACAGATGCATTAAATACAGAAAATAAACACACACTGCCTAAGCCTGCTTTCTTTAGTTATAGTTGTTTGTGTGATGTGCATAGATGTATATACGTCTCTACGCTGCAGTAAACAGCAGAGCTGAGCAGTCTGAATATCACTAGTATCGATACCAAACCTGATCAATACCCAGTTTCAAAATACATGAAAATCTGAAAGGAGTTTTATGTTGTGTTAAATAATTTTTGTAGACCTCACCTCTTCCACACCAGTCAGGGAGTAGGCATGTCCCTTCACCAGCTTTTTGAAGGTGACGGCCTCCATATCATTTGCACTGGTGATCTGAGAATGAGGCAACACAACACAAAGAGTTAAACAGAGTTAACCAGGGGTTTGTGACGTCTATAATTCACACAAGTGAAAGTTGACTCTGCTCATCTGGACGTGGCGTTTTCACTCATCCGTGTGGCTTCTTTAGTTTCAGCTGACTGCAGGTTTCCCCGACCTTAAACGGCACATTTGCATAATGACCCAAACTGGCACCACTGACTAACAACTGTGGGGCTGCGAGGTCAGTTTCATGATCGTTCATATGAGGAATGGCTGCAATCACAGCTTTGTAAAAAGGTGACTCTTTACCATGGATGAAGACAATCAGAATGACGGTAACAAAGACAGGAGAAGATGTACGCGCGTACTTTTGCAGGTCGGTGAAATCAAACGATATAATTAGCAGTCACTCACACAGCATGGCACATTCATTAAAAGCAAAAATCTCAAAGAATAAATCTACAGTGTAAATATAGAAGATTTTTCCTGTGTCATTTAAACCTAAGCACAGAAACACAAACAGACTCTGTTTATTCGTTCCTGTTCGTGTCAATCATTTACAATTTCATCATCTCTGGAAGAGAAAACGCATTTCCTTTTTAATTTTGCTCTTTGGACCCAAGTGAAACAGGGAGGCCTAAACAGGGAGGCCTGAACTGATTACAGAAGTTCAGTCCTCCCTGTCTGCAAACACAAGCTTTGCTAAAGTGTCCTTGACAGTTGCACTGACTTCCTGCCAGCTCCAGACCTTTCCCTGTCCTCACTGCGCCCTCCTGGTTTTCCATACACGGGCTTTGTTTACAGGACCCTCCTGAGCCCCAGTGGTGATACTGAGGAGAAGACTTTTCTGACTTTTAGCTGCTGGTCCACAGTTTATGTGGATCTCTGAACTGTAAGAGATATAGCAAAATCTCTCATATTATAAAATGAATTGTACACTGGAGGAAATTTATGTAAGGATTGTTGTTAAAGTAAAAAAAAAAAAAAAAAGCATTTTCTTACTATGAACCTTGGACTTGGAATAATTTACATGAATATAATATAAAAACATGCCTTCATCTACCAGTGAATTTAAAAGGATAGTAAGGAACGCAGTGAAGGAGACTTGTGGTTGTTTCTTTTCATAAGCAACTTTATGTTTTATTGTTTAGCGTCATCATTTATACTTTGTATTATGTTGTGCATTTTGTATTTGGTGTTGAAAAGAGTAAAAGAGTTTGATCCCAGTGGGAGTTCCTGGTAAAATAAAAGTAACAATAATGAATGTTGCAGTACTGACGTCAATCGAGCAGCCGAGAAGTGATCCTCTTTCAACAGCTCTGCGGATGATGCTGAAGAGGTCCGAGGGGGCTTTGTTCAGATCGTACATCTCCGTCACACCTCCAGTAAAGTCTTCAAAACCCTCACATGTGCTGCCGCCTGACAGAGCCTCATAACAGCCATTCAACCTGCGTCAGAAATAGAAATTAAATGGAGTCCCGCTACAAAATAAATAAATATACTGCATAGTTTAATATTAGAGTTGAGGATTAAACCCTAATATATGTAGAAACTTATTTCTATATTTTAAAGTGTCACTGCTTAACAATGTGCTAAAATACCATATATGGCTGCACAGGAACACGTGTAATCTTACTTTTACGTCACACTCATCCAGGAAGCTCTCTTAACTCTGAAGCCGTAAACTTATAGGAACAATGATGAGTTTCTCCTACACAGCCAACCAAAATTTACAACCGGGGCCACAGCTGTCCACTCAAGCAGCTGTGTTTCTTCAGGCCCTCTTTAAGAGCTTCAAGTATTTCTCAATCATGCCGGCCACAAGTTTTTTGGCACCAGAAACACTCATTTCTGAAGTGCCGGGGACAATTAATGAAAACTGACCTCAATTGTGATCAGATTTTGTTTTGAACTAAAACCTGAGCAGACACAACTTCATGTCATGTGTGCATCACTGTAAGGTTAGCATAAACAAACAAACTAAAGGAAATACGAGGGAACATTTGTTCTTTGGAGAATGCACCAGAATTGACTGAGTGTAAAAGCAGGCTGCAAACAGCAGAAAGGCTCAATGACAGTGTAAGAAAAATAGATAAAAGTGAAACCATAACATGTCCAAGTGCAGATAACATAGGTAACACACAGAATTTGGATCAATCCATAATTTACAGGTGATTACAACGTATCATTCAGCTACTTGTAACACATTTTACAATCTTTTTGCATCTTTCTTACACGCTCACGCTGCAGTATTGTTAGGTCTGTGTTTTTAGACTGTTGTTAGGTGGTTGCTATGCAACATCATGACATCCTAACCATTTTTTGTGAATATAAATGACATGGTATTGTCATAAAATTTGTAAGATACAACGCTTACTGCGTCATAAGGGCCTCTTGGTAGGTGGTTGCTAGGTAACATGATGACGTAACAATATTTGACATGCTAAAGACACTTCAGGGCCATAAGTTGCACCTTTATGCCAAGTTTGGTGTCTTAACTCATGACTGAGTAGAATCAAGTCAGACAGAGATCTGACGCATTCAATAAAACATATCTAATCATTGGATGCACAGATTCTCTTATTTATTTGAAGCATAAGAAGAATATGAAAGAGGCTGCTTTCCCTACAGGGACAAAATAATACACATTAAAGATCGGCGTTTGCTAAAGTTAAAGTTTTTTTCCTCAGGTGCCGTCCTCTGTACCACTCTTACTTGGCGTAGGCCTTTTCCATCAGAGCGCTCCAAAACTCAGTTCCATCTTTTGAGTGGACAAACAGAAGCTTCCCATCTCTCGCCGGCAGCCGATCGTCAATCACGACGTCCACCCACTCGCCAAACTGCCAGAACTGTGGAGAACAGAGCAGAGAACAGCGATACAGAGATGGTTTAACGTTCTGCTGAAGTTCTGGAGAACCTGGGCCCATTTTAAAACATTCAAGACCATAATTTCAAACTGTTTATCACCTTTATACGTGCATTTTTAATATGCTTGTATGAGAATTGGTTAGAGACATAAATTAGCATTGGTGTACTACTTGTTGGCCTCTGAATCCCAATGGCTCTCTCAAATCCCAGATCGCGCTATTATAATCTCCTTTGTGAAGTCTAACTAATACTAATTAATCTCTAATTACTCAGTTTCACTGAAATAGGATTTAGGATAGGATTACCAAAAAAGACAAACCTGACCAATCAGATGTGTCTTTCCAATTTATCACTACCAACACAGGAAGAAAATTGTCTCCAGCTAATCACACATCTGGGTGATACGACAGCCTTCTTTGGCAACTCAACTGGATCATTTTAATCCTTCATTCATTTCTTTTACACTGAACAGCATCACCAGGAGTATTCACTTGTTCACATGCATATGAACTCTAGTTACGTCCCATTTGTAACCCACAGGGTTTGATGTCGGCCCGCCGTTTACGGCTATAACAGCTTTGATTCTTTTAGGAAGGCTTTCCCCGAGCTTAAGTTTATGGGAGTTTTCATTCTTACAGAAGTGCATTGGTGAAGTCAGACACTGATGCTGGATGAGAAAGCCTGGCTCACAGTCTCTGTTCTAATTTATGCCAGAGGTGCTCTGTCGGGTTTGTCATTTGTCATTCTGTCATCCGTGTCTTCGTGGACATTGGTTTGTGCACTGGTGCTCAGTCATGCTGGAAAAAGAAGGGCTCAGCTCCAAACTGTTCACTCAAAGTTTTGGGTCATGAAATATCTCGAAACGTCTTGTTATGCTGAAGCACTGAGAGTGCAATGCAGAGTATTCCATTCACTGGAACTAAAGGGCTGAGCCCTCTTGCAAAACAACCCCACTCCATAATCCCCGCTACAACAAACTTTCTACAAAGCAGTCAGACAAGCTGTTCTCCCAGACTCATCCATCAGATTGCCACTCTCTTCTTTCTTTCATTCTCCACAGAGAACACGTGTCCACTGCTCTACAGTCCACTGGTGGCGTGCTTTACACCACTGCATCCGAAGCTTTGCATTGTTCTCGGTGATGTAAGGCTTTGACGCAGCTGCTCAGCCATGTAAATCTATTCTATGAAGCTCTCTGTGCTCTCGTCTCAAGCTAATTTAAAGGCCACATGAAGTTTGGAGATCTGTAGCGACTGATCTGAAGAAAGTTGGCGACGTCTGCACACTTTGTGCCTCAGCACCCGCTGACCCCACTCTGATTTTACACAGTCAACCACTCCCAGTCTCCCAGTCGCTTACACTTTGTTATAATCCTACTAACATTTCACTGTGGGATATTTAGTAGTGAGGAAATGTCATGTCTGGACTTGTTGCACAGGTGGCATCCTGTCACGGTACCACTCTGGAATCCACTGAGCTCCTGAGAGCGAGTCATTCCTGTGCCAATGTTTGTAGAAGCAGTCTGCATGCTGAGGTGCTTGACTTTATACACCTGTGACCATTGAAGTGAGTTACGAGTGAGCGAATACTTTTGACAATGTAGTGTAGTTCCAGCACAAAGCATGAAACTCTTGAACTGCACAGATTTTACAGGTATTTCTAATTTCCAACCTTCCCCTGTTTAATATCTTTGTAATACTAAGATCATAAAAGGCAACATTAACTGCAAGTCACACCACCACCCTAAATGTTCAGATGCTTTCCTAAACCAGTCCTGCAATCAGTTATTCACATTCACATCTTCTCTAACCAATCAGGCAGCCTGACACAAATGAGGGCTGGGTGAATTTCTGTGAAATGCTTTTGGATCAGATTCAAAAAACGATTTCCCTGAATTGTTGTTCTGCTTTTCACACATAAGATGTGACTGTGTTGTCCAGCAGGGGGCAGAAGAGACCAAGACAACACAATGAAAAGTTGTACAAAAAGAGTTGAGGGTAAAAATGATCTGGAGCAGGGATTCATTTAAGAAAGATTAAAAAAAAAAAGAGTGGATCAGTTATTTAATTTTAGTTATTTTATGTAATTTTGCTTTCAGTCATTTTCTTCAACTTATTCATGTCAGGGTTGGAGGGGCGGCTGGACCAGGGTACACTCTGTACAGGGCTAACACAGAGACAGACAGGTACTCTAACTCAGACCTGATATAATTATCAAATAACTTAACCCCACTAACTGCATGTCTTTGCATGCTTTCCATGTGTCTGTGTTGGCTCTTTCCAGGTGCTCCGGCTTCCTCCCACGGTCCAAACTCCACACTGAAAGACACTGGCTAAATGATCCGATTCAAACCCAGGACCTTCTTGCTGTGAGGCAACAGTGCTAACTGCATTTTATTTAATAAGAACAACTTAGTTCAGGAAAAAATAGGAACATTTTGTTTTGGGTACTTTTTCCTAAACCAGTCCTGTAATTGTCTGTTTGCATGACAAATTAGCTGCGAGTCGGGATCTCTAACCAAAGCAGGCGGTCTGATGCAAATCAGGGCAGGGCAAATTTCTCTGAAATGTTTTTTTTACAGAAGATTAAAAGAAGTCACTCTGGATTGTTGTTGTGTTTTCCGGGAACAGGATGGAAAAGCTGCACAAAAAGAGAGTGGAGGACAAAAATGATGTGGCGCAGGGGCCGAGTTATAAGCCAGACAGGTTTAAGAAGGGTAAAAACAAGGCAGAATTTCTGCTGTTGAGTCTGTTGTTCCATAGAAACATAACCAAAATACATGAAACCCTGGAGTCATTCACATTAGTTTCCAGCAGAGAGAGCTGAGAGCACTCAGAGCAAATTCAACACAGCTGATGGGAATAAACCAAAACGCCTCAGCATGTGACTTACTGTAAGTCCACCTGGACACAATTCATGTCTTGTGATGCAACAATAAAATCTGTTCGCATGAAAGAGCGATCAGATAAGACATACATAAAGGTCATCCATCTACTTGAGCGTGTAAAAACTGGGTGAAAACTTTTTTTGTGTTTGAAACTCTGAAAGCCACACCCATCTGTAACATCCACTCCTTTGACTGTGCTCAACGTTCTGCCATCAAGGGGTAACTTACATCCAGGAAGTGTAACTACATAGTTATTAACTGAGCCACAAACATTTTCTCAGCTTTGGGCTCCTACACACATTACGCTGCTAACTTTGACACTTTGGCTTTGGGGAAGAGATACCAGACACAAAAAATCCAGACTGAAAGAGCTTCTTCCTCAAGGGACTGATTAAGTACATTGGCAAATTCACAATATTGCGATATCTGCACTCATGAATAACCAAAACAAGCCACTGATGTCTGCACGTTACTTGCTGCCATAACAAGACAATGTTAGTGTATATATAGTGTTTTGGTGTGTATTTAACAGGAATGGATGGATTCACAACACGGTCGGCTGAAGTCGACACAAAGCATACACACACACCAACCAACCACACATATACAGGAAATACAGGGCTGCCTCTGGTAAACGTACAGGCCTGCACACATTTCTTCATTCTGCTTATTAAACCTGACATTGTTGAGGCTTTTTCTCACAGCTCTGTGGGAGAAACACCTCGTCTAACCGGGGGAAGCTAACCATTCCCACATCTGTGTCATGACTTGCAGCGACTCTGCCTTCACATTTGAGAAGCGCTTAACAAACTGTCAAAAGGTCCATGTGTAAAAAGCGAGCTATAAAAAGAGTATCATAAAGGATTCTGCCCTGCTTTCCTTTGTGGACGCCGACTTGTTTATAATTCATTCCCCCTCTCCTTTTGTCTCCCTGACTTTCTTCTTCACGCAGACTCCTTGTTCTCTCCACTTCTTAAACCAGTTAGGATACCCACAACCAGCACACACATGATCTCTTTTTTTTCTCCCCAGTGACTCACTCAGATCTGGATAAATTATCCTGAGGCTTAAACTCACACACAAAGAAAAGAAATCCTACAAAGACTCAGCAGCACACAAAAGCAAAGAAGCAGTAGGAACATGCTTATATGCTAGCGGCAACGCAAACACAATCAAAAGAGGCTCATAGTAAAAAAAATAACACGAGAGGCAAAAAAACGATAGTGAAGCCGTGTGTATTTAACAAGCTGTTTAGCCATAATTCACTCACTCATACAACACATTCATTCATTTATGTTCCCTCAGAGCAGACTGAAGCATTAGCTCCTCTCACTGTAGCAGAGAGCAGCATCTATACATGAAATTTACTGCACACTGCAGTCAACAAAACACAAACGAACACAGAGTCTCTGGAAGTAATCAGCTAAACGATTCTTCATTCTATTCTTGGCTGACCTCACTGTAACTGAATCAGCAAACCCAAAAAAATCCAGTGTAAATTAGCTTAGCTCTGTGTGTGTCTGTGCGACTGCATTTATTGATCCTTTGATATGAAATGAGTCAGAGGAGCAGCCGGGAGATGTCATCCTTTTTGCCAATGTCATTTCAGAGCAGTGGGCCTTTACCCACACAGTGATAAAATCCTGAGAGTCGATTGATAAAAGTTCTGCTATTTGTGCGCGCAAACACGGTGCTGCATCTTTAATGACTGAGCTGTCCAGCTGACAGGGATCCAGGATGGATACTTTCACTGCGAGTGTATTTGTTGTACTTCACAACTCCAAGCATGTAATATGTGACTTTGTCGTGTGAGAGTGTGTCCGCTCTGCTCTCTGTCACACTTCCTCATTCCCTCCCCTTTCACTCTCTGCCTCTTTACCCTTCACTTGGCAGGCTCACAGTCTAGTTGGCAACGAGATCACTGCCTGACGAAGCGCCCGCCAACACTAAAGTATATTAAGCACTTTATATCGCTAACTGAGCCAACTGCCAGAAACTTCAGGGTACAGTCATACTTAGCTATTGGGTTGTGTGTGAAGGTTAGTGCTAACTTTCACCTTTATAACAACTACAAAAATTGATGAATTACTTTGGACCTCAACCCTTTAAAATAACTCTTAAAGTTTTCATTAAATGTGCGGCAGGTTTGACTGTTGATGCTGACACAGCAGGCTCCGATCTGCACATTGCTCGAGAGTTATATTGGCCATATTGGATGGGACGTAAACAGCAGGCACAAGGATAAACTAATAATTTCCCCTAGTTTTCCACAATGGGTTGGTTAATTTCAAGAAGTTGCACATTGTTTTCAGGTGAAATTAGTTTCAAAGAAGGCGCTACAACAAAACCTTGTGATTGATTTGGTCACTGGCAGATTTCCATGGTTGCTTGTAGTTTGCATGGAGGACGCCAACATGTCAGCATTCACTCGCTAACCACTGGCTAAGTGGTAGTAAAACTTGAAAAAGTGTTACCTTAACAGGCAACAGCTAATGTTCACCTTCAAAATAAAAGTTTCGCCTCAGCAATCCATCCAACACATTTCAAAAGGCTCAACTTTTAAATTGAAGGCAAAAAGGACACGCTCCTAAAACCAAGGGGTTTTTGTCCTGTTTGTATTCAAATTCAGAGTTTCCAGAGCTCTGAGAACAGTTGACAAGTGCCTGCTGACAAGGAAATGTCGTCTATCCAAACTATGAGCACCCACAGCAATCTGCTAGCAACCAAATCAAGGGAGCGTTTGCCAAATGCTCTGGGAATACACAATTTTACCCACAAATCAGTTGCTGACTCAGGCCTTATTGCCTGGACCCTACAGAGCCATACATCCAAAATGGCAAACAAGTCAACATCACATCGTTAGCAGCCGTATAACTGCAAAACCTCAACACATTTATTTCACATTTGACATTTTAAAGGGTCTAACACTAGACCAGGACACACTGTAGAGTTTTTCATTCTGCTTTGTAATAACAACCAAACATCAGCTTGACAGGCTTCAATAGCACTGCTATACTTAATGAAATGCTAATACATGCCACTGAAGTGGGCTATATTAGCATTAAATCAAAGTGCAGTTGGGGCAAAACATTACAAATGAACTGATGTGATGACGAACTGCTGTCACTGGAGACTGCTTTATTATTGAAAACCATGCAGATAATAACACCATAATAACTAGCAGCATCTCTGTAAGTGCCAGTAAGCAAAAAAAAGAGGTGAAAAATCCACTCTAAAAGAATAAAGCGTGGATTTGCACACTCTAATCACATCTTCCATTATTCCCTCACTTCGGCTGTAAACGTACCACATTCAAATTGAAAGTGCAATAATCATAAACCACTGCTTTAATACGACTCCCTATCTAGCATTGGGCTGCATGTGCATGTTGCTCACCTGCTCACTGGCCGCAACATAAAAGGTAGCATTGTGAGGCCAACACCTGTGTCCCCGCCACAGCGCGCGCAGCAGCTACGTTGCTTGTGACTGTTTGTTGTGTGCAAAGTTCAGCTGATAAGCCCTAGTCGGCTGCAAGAGGCTCACACCAAAGAAAACATTTGTATTTATGTTGCAAAGCAGAACTTGTTACACTGAGCTACGATGTGCACTCAACACATTTGACAGGGGATAGTCAACTTTACCTTTGTCTTGAAAGATTAGATTGTGCTTAAACTTGCAGTTTCTGATAAGGAAGTGGCTTTTTGCCAGTTTGGAGAGCACGCTCAGATCTCCACTGGCAGGGTGAGGGGGTGTGAGGTCAGTTACGTTGGGCGACTCAAGTGTGGACTGAAACAAAAAGACAGGCTTATAGCAGCAACGCCGCCTTTTAACCTTCTATCTCTTCTCAGAAAATTAAGCTTTTGGATACTGTTCAAAGAAGAACCTGAACGTCGGGCCTACAGCTGAATAGTCGTTAGGCATTTTTCAGAGAATCTGGTGCTGCTCAAGTTTTCTTGGCAAATACTGTGAAACTGACAACGCCCTGATACTCTTCCTACTGCGACTCCATTTCAAAACCAGAACACACCTTATGGCTGTAAGCAAGCTGCAGGTAATATCCCTGTCTGTCAGACGCAGACAAAGAATTAAATACAAGGAAACAGTAAGCCATATGACGTTAAAAACAAGGACTGGGTTTACAGCGGACTTCCTCTAATCCACGTAAAGGCTCCTATAGATACATATACTCACTTAACCTTCTAGGACCTGGCGTCCACATATGTGCACAACACATTTTAGGTTGTCTAGACCAAAACACAAAATTTTGCTCTACAAGGGCCTGAAATCCACGTACGATGTTATACTGCACCTGTTCTATTGAAATATAAAGCGAATGTACTCATATGTGGATCTCATTTTTCTCAGAAGCAAAGCTCAGGTTACAAAATCCCCCCCCCCAAATAAATAAATAAATAAATCAGGTAATTCTTGTTTTTTCCATTCACTGGGTCCCAATCATCCCACGTAGCAAGGAGAAATTAAAAATGTATGACATGAGAGAGTTCGGGTCTTGGGACGTTAAATATTTTAATAAACTGGATTTAGGTTCTATAATGTCTCAACTTGAAGGCAGAGGGCTTTAACTTCTCATTAGTGATCATGATTGACTACAACTGGTAGTTGTAGGACTGATTTGACAGCAGTCATTGGATTAACCGATACTCAGAACAACAAACAAGTGGATACAGGTAAAAATTATCCTGTCTGCAAGAGAACCCAAAGTATCATCCAAGTAATCGGTTAACCATAAGCAGTTCCCCACATGGACAAGCCAAATGCCTCCTGGTGAAAAGTTTTATGGTAAAACAAAACAAACATTCAACTATTTGGCCACAATGACGAGATGTGTTTGGACGAGTAAAGGTGAGGCTTTCACATCTAAGAACTCTGCACCAACTGGCAAGCACGGTGGCGGTAACATCATGTTCTGGGGCCGTTATGCTGCCAGCGGTACTGGTACATTTCACACGGGTGGAGTAATAAATTCTTTAACTTAACCTCAAAGCAACTACTAAATGGTTGAAACTTGGACTCAGCTGGGTATTCCAACAGGACAATGATCCCAAACACATATCATAACTGGTTTTGGAATGAACAGAGCAGACTAACATTAAGCCTTTTTTTTATGTCCTTCCTAAAGCTCTGATCTCAAGCTCTGAATCGATCTGCTATGGGGCTTTTAACCGAATATTAGTGAGGGTCTACAATGTATATATACACTTGCCAGATCTTGTGTGGATTAGATTCTAACATGTGCACCAGCTTGTGCCCAGAAATGCCCACAAAATCGTAAAAAAAAAAAAAAAGTTGCACAGCAAGAAGTGTTGCATTATGTCCTGTTTCTACAACAAAATAACACAACAGAAAGCAGTGAGATGCAGCGAATTCAAAAGTCCAATCTCTGGTGTTTCACAGCTTCCCCATATCTTCAGATAAATATCAGTTTTCCACCTCAGTTTGAAAGTCGTCACTGAGGAATTGAAGGGAAAAAACAGCATTGCTCAGCAGCTCATGTATAGTGATTACACAATTATCTGTGTTATATAAGCAGCCGACATCACAACCTGCGTATAAATTGTCATGTTTGGAATCACTTGCACTTAGTTTGAGAGCCCATACCCATATTCAGGCCTCAGTAACCTGCTTTTGGCCTGATAACCGCTTGCAGCTGGTTACGTGTAACAGCTGTCTGCAATGTTTTTCAGGCGCTATCCTTTGATATGTTTGGAAAAAACAAAAGGAAAGGATATGAAGCTGTCAGTAGTCATTACCTGGAAGTGAAAGATGCCAGCATATCCCTGCTGGAAACCCTGTCCGTGAGGAACCACTCTGTGGAGGAGATGGTCATTTAGGGTCAGCGATGCGATGGCTGCCAGCAACCAGCAGTCCCCTGAAGAAACGCAAAGACAGTTTTACTACCATTATAAATCAACTGAGAGCTGTCATGATAAGCACGAGTCTGTGTTTACATTAGCAAATAATTTCAACTTTTAGCCACACACAAAACTGGAATTCACCCACAAAGAGTAAAGGTTTGCACAGGCTTTGCATTCTGGGAAATGGGAGAGGCGAGCACAGAATCTCAGACTCGCCATGACTCACTCATGTTGTTAGTAGGACTTCCATAGTGGGTTCAAGCCACAGTTGCCACTTCCATTATTATACTGTGTTGCCAAAGAGCATTTGCTAGAAGATGGGAAGCCAATGACTGGCATAGTTCATTTAGCAGTTTGACTGTCATCATATTCTCTGTTACAAGACCTACAATTATCCTTTCACCGTCAAAACCGTGTTGCGTTCGGTGTTGTGTTATCTTTTATGGGAGGAGTTGTGACTGACATGTTATTGAAACTTTAGGTTTTATTCTGGCTGTGTTACTGACACACAACAGTGCTGCACTTCTCTGCTGAAAGTTATACTCAAGATAAAAATGAAGTCATTGAGTTTTATATTTTCATACAAGTAACACGCAGGAGTTCCTAAACTTTTTTCTGTCCATAGACAGTAGGAAATATAGATGTAGGTGGAGCCTCCATTCTATATGGTTTTTGCATGCAGCTGCAAAAAGACCTATGGGGGGGGGGAAAGGTTTTCTGATTTGAAGTCTGTAAGGCCTTTAAAAAGTGATTTCTTAGTCTTGTTTACACGAACACTGATCCTTTTCCACAGAGTAATGTATTATGTTTTCTGGTTCAGGATTTTGGAGGTTTTTGCGATACTTTTGGCAGTGCCTAAGATATCTACTGAAAGAAATGGAAGATGCCTTTGCTTACAGATATGACAAGGCATAAATTATAAATGTTATATAAAATAAAAAATATATTTTTTTTAAAAACTAAAACTTTTCTTTTCCCTGAAAGAACTACCACAAGACCATATCTGGATTATCCCCCTCTCTATATCAGATTTTTGCTGTGAAAGGTTCTGTGTCTCGCTGAAGTTCATGCTGTATGCGGAGTAGAGGGACGCTTCACTTATTCATGACTTGCATCCAGCATCTCCCTAGATTTAGCACAGCAACTAACATCTATGCACTCAGTTACCTGTTTGTTTGTTCTTTTGGCAGTGTTCTCTTTTGCTTTCTGCCAGATTAAATCTCAGTTCTACCCCTCGGGTCTAATAGATGAATCATGCAGTAGTAACACTGAAACAGTTGGGAACACTCCCAATGGGACTTACCCAAAGCACCCTGACAGATGTCAGTGCGAGTAGCTCCATCTACGATGAACTCGGGCCGTTTGCAGAGCTCCTGTCGGTGCACACGCACAAACACACAAATTAGCACTTCTTTGCCTTCAGACATACATTTTGCAAACATGTCGTCTTCCTCCCTTTCTTTTCTCATTTTCATCTCATTGAACCTGCTCTGGAAACCCAAACAATGATAGCAAGAATACCAATGGTACCCATTCCCTGATAGAAGAAACATTAAAAATTAATCATTAGAGATTTATGCAAGTAATCTGTCATTTAACACTGCATCTTTATCAGTCTTATCTCCAACTGATGATTAGTGTCAGACATGAACTGAAGCAACAGTAACAGAGCTAATGAAGCAAGTCTACAAAAGCTGCCCACTTTGATTCTATAATCTAAACTTAAGTGTCTTTTTCAAGCTCCGTGGCTACCAGGAGCTTGAAACCCCTGACAGGAGTGCTTACAGTCAGGAGTTAAAGTGGGATTTGGCAGCTGCAGGAAACCTAAACTCATGTGTAGCAGGGCAGCAATTCAGAATTGAGTGCTATGTCTCTGCGTATAATGTCTCTTGTGCAACCCACATCCTGCTCTGCAACAGTCCAACATAGTCAACAAACACAGCAAACGTCCCAGTTTATTCTGTACTTACTGTCTGTTACAAACTTTACTACACAGCAGACACATGCATTTATTTCTTCCCTGGGAAACACAGTCATTGTACTCTTAGCTGGCAGACAATCCAATGCCGCTCTCTCGTATCAGTCATGTGCGAATCGAGCTGGGCAATTGTCTGGTCTATCTTGTCAGATTGCTACTTTTAAACTGAAGCTTGAGACAATTAACCAGATCTTGCACGCACAAAACAAAACTTCTACTTTTCAACACGTGGGCTCCAAATAGTTTTTCAAACATGTAGTCTTTCAGTCAAGGTTTAGGAACAACTCTGGATTAGTGCAGGAGGAACACGCAACATTTCTGTCTGTGTGCTTGTTTCTTTGTCTGCCAACGCTTCAAACACTATCAGGAATTGAGCAACCAAACCTGGCACACGGGTACAGCTCAGGCTCCTGAAGATTCTTATCTCTATCACATAGCCTGGAAACCACTTAGCACAGGGCTGAATGAAGCGCCTTGAGGCAACTTTTGTTGTGATTTAGCGCTATATAAATAAAATTGAATTGAATTAAAAAAATGACCTGGTTTTTTTTTTGGTTTTTTTTTTTAATGCATCTACAACACAAGCAGCATTTCATTTAAATTTAGGGTTAACATCATAAACAGGCCAGACAATACTGTAGCACAGACACCTGCTAGTATAATAAATACAAAATGCTCTATTCTACAGATGATCTGCTTGTTTATACCTTATTAAAATTCATGTATTCTTAGAGAGGAAGTGAACTGTTTTAAGTTGCTTCCTGGGAGCAGCGGGTATCAAGGTGGCAGTTCATACACACAAAAGCTATTTTAGCTAATTATAGCTAGTAGACACACTTAAAACAGCTTCTAATAAAGTAACTGATCGAATAGAGTCTTTTTTATTAGTTTAATACCAAATAATAAATTGAGTAAGAAGTTGTAAGAAGGTAGTTTTCTTTGGGATTAATGGAGCTAGCTTCAAGCACAATACTCTTAGTCATTGTAGCGAGCTAGGCAAGCAAATCCTAAAGTTGTCAAAGCTCTTTTCTGAAAAATCTCCCAGTCTAGTGTTTTTTGTTCACATTTGATTTGCACAACTTCCTGCTTCCTAAACCTTTTTGTACTCAGTGTGGTGAGAAACCCCACGAAGCTATAAAAACAAATATTTTGTGTCATGCTAAGCAAACATGCCAACTATTCAACACATGGCCTAACTCACTGAGGCATCCTGGGCATTTTTAAACACTCACACAAAGCCTTTTTTTTTTGGCCGGGGGGGGGCATCATGACCCTCCTAGTGTAAATATTACAGATCCTGTGGTGCAGGTCATGCATGCATTATGAAGTGCTATTTCTGGAAGGCTGAGACCTCAGAAAAGCATTAGATGCAACAAAGAAACAAAAAACATACACTCATGAACACATGACGATCTGCATACTCAAAAGAAAGCCGAAATTATCACAAGGCAAAGCTTTTAAGACCACAGCACGCTCTGTTACTGCAGAACTGACAACAGCAACTTGCCACAGTGTCTGCAAATAGAATAAAAAAGGAGAGCACACCGTGTTCAAGGCATGCTCACAAATACAATTCCACTTTCTTCTCTGGTGCTGCTTCTAGCTGCACAGACCACACTGGTGCATTTATAACAGAGTAAAAGGTGATGAGAGAAGAAAAGACGTGACATGGTAGACGATGTGATATAAGAAGCCCCTCATAAGACCTCAAGTCTGTGAGGAAAGCTTGCTTAAGTGTACCAGGTAATAAAAGACCTTAGAGGTGAGCTGTTATAGGTGGTGGTTGGAACTTCAGGGTTTGAGATGACCATATCTGGAAAATGCCCTCTCTTTGACATCATGCAGAGTCCAGAGAAAATAATAATAATAACGAAACGTCTGAAACAAATCATTTACAGCAGTCTGAAGTCTGAGCTTTTGGCTCATATTCTGATATACAATGACTTTATTATTTTAAACTTTGCCCATAATAAACAGTCTTATCCGCCTATAACCCAGCAACTATATGACAGAAAGTAAATAAAATAAATAAGGTCCTTCTCTGCCCTGTTGGACGTGACCCACCACGTCCAACAGGGCAGAGGAGGATTTGAACTTGAAGCAGTAACACCTCGGTGGCAACAGGCATCTGTAACCGAACATCGGAAAATGGTAGTGGAGGAGGTGCGTCGACAGGAGGAAACAGTAAGACATGCTAGAGCGGTAGCGCTGACCAAGCAGGATCGCTGGATGAACTGGGAGAGGAAACGCACATGGAGTGAAATCTGGGGAATGGAGTCTAATAGACTAAGTTTCATCATCTGAGCGACACACGATGTGCTACCTTCCCCAATAAATCTGGAGCTGTGGTTTGGAAAGGACCCATCTTGCCCCCTGTGTACAGTCCCAGCCACACTCAAGCACATCTTGGTTGGTTGTAGGACTAGCCTTACTCAGGGCGGATACACATGGAGACACAACCAGATCCTCAGGTGTCTAGCCGAGAAAGTTGAGTGCAAAAGAAAATCCATCAACGCTCAACCTTTTACGAACCAAGAGGAGCGTCAGTTTTCATAAGCATTTGTCCGGGAGGGAGACAAGCCGAGGACGAGCCCCCCAACCCCGGACCTGGGACCGCTGGAGGTTGCCAGGGATTGGCAGATGCACATGGACTTGGATCAGAGGCTAATTTTTCCCGCAGAGATCATAACAACTACTCTGCGACCAGACCTCGTCCTTTGGTCTAACTCCCCAAAACGTGCTTACATCATTGAGCCGACGGTACCATGGGAGGACGCAATTGAGGAAGGATTCGAGCGTAAGAAGCTGCGGTGTGCCAACTTGGCAGCTGAAGCAGAGGACAGAGGCTGGAAGATCAAGGTGCGCCCGGTGGAAGTGGGGTGCAGAGGCTTTGTTGCCAGAACAACAGCGAATTGCTTAGATTGGGACTGCTGTCAAATGTTAGTGCTTGCCAGCTCTGCTTAAACACACCCACTACAGGTGGTCATGGGACATGGTTTTTTTAGGCACTGGTGCACTAAATGTGTGCACAGTAACACGAGTTTTATACTACAGGGCATGCAACAGCAGATAGCTCTTGTCAGATGGGTGCACATATTTAAAATACTATGGCTCAGGCTATGGTGCTGCAGTCATGTGCAGGACATCAAGATGTCCACTTGCTTGCTGTGAATTCTCCAGACAATTACCTACTCTACTGTTAGTGGCTCGTTCAGACATTACACATTGTTTACAAAGGAGCTGCTACTTTAAAAAACCACCAAATATCTGAGTGAGGCGTTTGTAGGCATGAGTCAGACATTTGCATTGTGATGCAGTGCAGCCAGATAAGATCTACTACAATTCAGGGGTGTGGTCTGCTACACTGTAGAAAAACAGCTCCACTAGGTTGCCAAAAGCATTAATTCGTCTGTCTTCACACCTATATGAATTCAAGTGACATCTTATTCTTAATACATATGGTTTAATATGTTGATGGTCCACTTTTTGCAGGTATAACATCTTCAGCTCTTCCTAAAGGTGTTTTTTTTTTCAGGTTGAGGTGCAGGCCAGTCTAGTTCTTCCACACCACACTCACTCATCCATGCCTTTATGGACATTGCTTTGTGCACTGGTGTGCAGTGATGTTGGAACAGGAAGTGGCCATCACCAACATTTCTTGCTATGTTAAAGCATTAAGCACGCTGGCAGAGTTACTGTCATTCCCAAACGCTTGCTCTTTGTTATAATACCACGAACAATTGACTGTGGAATATTTAGTAGTGAGGAAATTTCATGACTGGACTTGTTGCACAGGTGGAATCCTATCACAGTTCCTATGTCCAAGGAAGTGATTGGAAAACCTCCATTTAATTATTTAATGGGGTAGTGAATACTTTTAGCAACACACTGACATTAAAATGATATTAACCTTCTAAAAAACACAGTAAATAAATCTGGAAACACCATCTATAACTTTAAACATCTACAATAAATGATGTGAAAGGCTTCTATATTCCCCTTACCCACGCTTGGGCAAAAGACACAAAAACACGGCCACCGCCGCAATTTCTCACCGTGGGCCTCATCCAGCGCATGCCGCTGGTCTTTGCCGATCTGGGGCCGAGTTCGTTGAATCCCAAAGATGACGCTACAGCAGGAAACAGGCTGTCCTCAAACAATCTCCCGCTTTGAAGGCACTGGGCTTTCAGAGAATCATAGTCCTGACCCAAGAACTTCACCGCATTGTGGTTCTGCCCCAGGCCCTCATCACGATCCCACTGGCTCCTCAGTTTGTAGGCCATGCCTGTGGCATAAATGGGCTGCTCTGCCATCTTGAGCTTGTGGAGTTAACGGAGAACAGTAGGACTGACAGCTGCTATCAATTTGATTCTCTTTGGAACCACAATAAGAAGTAAAGATGTGTCAATTATTAAAGACGCAACAGCAGCCTATTGAGCTTTTATAATCTAAAGCACTGTGCTGATGTAAACCTGATACACAGTGGTAATGGCTTCAAGGCTCAATCTTCAGTTAGAATAAAACATCAGTAGCTATGAAGATGCTATTAAACACTGATGAGGCTAGTCTGCTGCTTGGCTGTGGTGTATGTGGTTGCACTCTAGCTGGATGCTTTGATTGCAGTCACAAACGGAGAAGCTCAAAAATCCAAAGCTTGTCACAGTAGAGACGTCTTCCTCATTACAAAAGATCCAGATAACACCAGTCCCCGTCTGTTGTTCTTTTTTTGCCACGTTCACGCAGTGCAGGATCACACCCTGTCCTTATCACGGCAGCGGACAACCCTGCACAAAAACAAAGTGAGAAATTGAGCACAAAAGAGAAAAGGTTATCCAGTGAGATACAAGATACACGTTTGTACATACCAATACTATCTACGCATACATCACAGAACAAAAGCAGAGGCTGTGCACACCCTCCATGTGCACAGACACTAAGAGTTTAAAAGACAAACGAGGCATCCTTGTTTCTTTGCAGTCATCCATATATGTGCATTCTTAGAAAAGCCCGGCAAAGTTGGCACATCTGTGCTACTTTTACTGTGGTGCACTGAATGTGTGCACAGTGTAAGTGAGAACTAAATTTGAAGTCAATGTTTAATCAGAAAAGCACATTAATAACAAAGCAGGATACCAACTGTGTGTGTGTGTGTGTGTGTGTGTGTGTGTGTGTGTGTTGATGCACAATAAAGGTTGCATGAGGCAAAGAACAAGCACAAGCTCTCTGTGAGACGCTTTAATTAAGCAGAGGCTGAGATGAAGAAGCATTTCTATCATTAGTGCCGGCGCAGACAGAACTGGAGCTTTGGACAGAGTTAGTCTCACTTTGTTGCTTTGAGTCTGCGTCTTTTCCATCAAACACAGAGTGGAAGGCGTTTATTTTTATCTTCTTTCAACTCTCTCAGCTTTTTGGTTTTTTCACTCCCTCACCTCAGATATGCACATAAAGATACGCACTTCCTGTTTTCAGTCCACAGGTGTCCGTCACAGCAGAAACAGAAAAGAGAGTGGCTTTCACTGGCTTGTGTAGCAGTGGAGCCATGTAAGAGTTTCCTCCTCCTGCTAACAGTGAACCACACCCACAAAGATGGCCCATTTGACTGAGTGAAGAATGCTGCTGCTAAGAGAGCCAAAAACTGAGCATGCAGCTGCGACAGCAGGTTTCCCAGCTTGTTCAATTACACAACACTAAGACTTGTGTTTGCACATGTGCCTCTATTGCTGCTAGCATGATGAAACTACATTAGGGTCATTTGCATGAGTACTACACATTATTTCTGCTAATAGATCCCTAAAGCTACAGCTAGCAAAGCTGAAAGTGCTGCATAATGGCTGCACCACAACTATTATATTTCTTACCACGAGCATTACTACTCACACTAACAAAGGCACTTTTGCCACCACTGTAACAACTACTTCTGCTTCTTCCTGCATTCTTTATAAAGAGTTATTTAGCATCTGTACCACATATCAGTGTTAGCATCACTACAGTGTTTTTCTTTTTTACATAAAGGTATGTACTATTTAAATGTGGACACGAAAATATCTTCAGTGAAAAGGCTTCTAGAGTTACACTTGTTAAACTGCTTGTTAATGCATATATCTAATTAGCCAATCACATGTATTCAGGTATTTAAACATGGTCAACACGACCTGCTGAAGATCAAACTGAGCATCAAAATGAGGAAGAAATGTGATTTAAATGACCTTGAATGTGGCACAGCTGTTGTCAAACAGGCTGGTCTAAGTATTTCAGAAACTGCTAATCTGCTGTGGGGAAATCCCAGCAATCTCTACAGTTTACAGAGCGTGAGCCAAAACGGAGGAAATTTCAGCGAGGGGCAGTTCTCTGGTGAAAGTCTTCTTGATGTCAGAAGTCAAAATGGAAATGTCAGACTGCTTTGAGGTGATGGGAAGCAAACAGTAACTCAAATAACAGCTTTTTAGAACCAAAGTAAACAGAAGAGTGTCTCTAAACACACAACACACACACAACAAGCAGATGGGCTACGTCAGTGGGACACTCCCGTGAGCTAAGTAGAAGAAATTGAGGCTACAGTTCACACATGTTCTGCAGAATTGAACAATATAAATTTTTTTGGTCTAATGAGACTCAATTTTAGCAAAAACATTAGGATGGTGCGGTCAGAATACGGCATAAATACGAATACATGGATCCATCCTGCTGACCACTTCCATCCCTTTATGACATTAATAAAAATGTGGTTCACTGTTCTTCCCCTCACTGCAAAGTCCATCATGAAATCCTAACAAATGTCTGGTTAAAAATGCAGGTTTTCAGATTTATGTCAGGCCCATGTGTTTGTTTCTTACCTCTCCTCCAAACTGCACCTTCTAGTTTGATCCCAAGAACTGCCAAACCAGTCCAGACAGACTCTTCTGTACTACTTTTATAGTCAACCTCCAGCGAGGGATGTGCCAAATGTGGCAGGAAGGAGGAGTTACGCCTGATTTCAACATCTTTATTTTCCAACTGTTAACGTATGCCCATTGTCACTTGAATGACATGTTTGAGCACTCCTATAAATTCACTTAATACCTAATTAACTTTTCCTAGAACGGGAGGAGCTACTGGCTATAGGCAGAAGTGTGTCAGGTGACAGCTCTGTGAGGAAAAACGCCACTGCCCCTCACAAAACACACCCACTACCATGAAATGCTTGCAGACCACAAACAATTACTCATATGCTTTCAATATGCATGTCACTCTAAGTTGGTTCCATGACAAAACACCCATGACCCCATTACTTAAACCAACAACAAAGGATCATAACGTGTTCTGTTAAAACCTTAGTCGTGTGGTTTTTACCTCTGCTGGCTGCCATCGGGGCACATTTTACCCAACAACAGTTCAGTCTAACTCTAATGAATATTTTACTTCTCCTCACATGAGAAATACATGCAGCCTACATACCCTCACTCCATATCCCAACACAAATGCTTAGCCTTCCCCCCAGTCCGGGTGGCAGCACACAAGAATGCGCATGCATGTGTGTACTGCACTGTATCATCTAGCAATGCAACACTTAGTATAATGACAAGAAAACTGAGAATGTGCACTTTTATCCAACCCATAACCCGGCTCTTTTACTTATTTGTTTTGGCACATCAGCAGGATGTTTCCTTTAACATAGGGGTCGTGCAGCCATGGGTAGAAACACACACGACTGAAGCAGCAGGCATGCAAAGGCCGTGAAAACACTGCAATCATCAGCAATGTATGACTAATGCTTTTCTGCTGATGATTGTCTGAGTCCAGTTTCCTCCTCACAACTCGAGCTGATTAAATGCATGCTGATAGTAAGTAAGTGTTGCCTTTGGGAGGGTGGAGTCAAGAGTTTGTGGCATGAGTAAGCCTTCTGACCGCCTGTGGTGTATTTCTGCATGCAGGGGTTCATGTTGCAACACAGTTTACTGTGAGAAAAAATATCCAAAGTGTTTGGAGAAAATAGACCAACAGAGAGATCACACACACGCACTGTGACCGCTGCAGGGAACATGGTGACTACTGTGTTTTTTTTCTCATCAGAGTCTGCAGAAGAACACAGCTTTTAGAAACACTGCGCTACATTTGGAGAATGCTCGTTGGAGCATGCGCCTCAGCTCACGCAGATTTAGCTCTTTATAAAACTTTAACTTGGACGCATGGCTCACACAGATAAGTAAGTCGCTTTTGTGATAGATAGGTGTGGTCCCTGGGAAAACATTGAAATTAAAGAACGAAACACAACCAGCAAAGCGAACAGCGGTTTGACGAGTTTCCTTTGGCTTCACTTCCATCAGACACAGTTAAAACCAATAATAATAATAATAATAATAATAATAATAATAATAATAATAATAATAATAAAGCGTAAGACAGCAAAAGCAAATTTTGCGGAATCAGCACATTAATGATTAATGATTGATGGTTATTATTCTCGTGAAATCTGGGACAGACTGCTGTTTCACTGTGGTTTGTTCCGGCATCACAAACTAACCTAAAAAACAACTCACAAACTTCCAGTTCTGCTCTTAAAAAAGAAGTTCATGCCAGGAGGACAAACGCGATTGGCAAAGTGCAGCCCGACACTAAACTTGCTGATGCAAAGTGATGTTGAAGGATGAAAACTCATATTTACCTTCAAATGCGTTTCCTCTGAAAAAAAAAATAGCTACACGGAAATTCAACATGCTCTGCGTTCCATGTTTAGTATGTACCCTTCTTGTACCCTCCCCTCTTTTCTATACAGAAGAAACGCCCTGCTGCCGCTGTGTACCCTTGTGTCAATGCGACTGCGCAGTGCCCACAGGTCATAAAACTACACTGAAAGGGAGGGATTCGTGCACTGTTCTGTCGTGTTGTGCTCTTTGTTTGCAGCAGATTTTACTTGATACTGTAGTTCATTATGGTACTGTGTGTTCACATGCAATAAGCTGCCCTTTAAAAGACAAAAATCCCTTTACATCGCTCTGTAAATACTTATCCTAACTAAAAAAAAACGCCACATTTACCAAGTGTTAGACTCTTTTTGAAGTTTAGTTACGTACAGCATTTCTATTTTATAACTATTTTAAATTTCAGTAGACTTGTATGTTATGAATGTAAAAATAGAGAAGTTTTTTAATCTCCTAACGGCATCATTTACAGGATTTCAAGTCTAAGCAGCCAACAATGACATCTAGTGACTTCGGGTAGCAGCGCATCTAGAATAGAATAGAATCGGATAGAATAGCTTTTTTATTGTTACTGTTACAAGAACAATGAAAGGCAGTTTGGCATCTCTCCATGTGTGTGAAGTACACAATAGCCAAAGTATTTACACAACAAATTTACATTTACACAAGAAAGATATGTACAAGTCATACATACACCTGCAAAACACACACACATACATACATATATGAATATATACATATATGCATACGTACATACATACACACACATATTTCCACATACACGCTTACATCTATATCCATACACATACATGCCATCTAACTAGCAGGTGCATTGAGAGGTGCAGTGTGATCAGTGATATTGCACATTGAGTGGGGGGGTGCTGTTGGAACTATGCTAAATAAGGTTTTAATAAATACAGTTTAAAGAGGTAGGGGTGTTGGTTGCATTGAAGTATAAACAGAAATACGATTTATAAATAAGGTGTAATGTCCATGAGTGTTATTTCTATGAAATGGACAGAAAGAACAAATGGTAAAAAAAATTTAAAAATTAAATTAATAATAATAATAATAATAATAATAATAATAATAATAATAATAATAATAACATGTAGATAATAAACAGAATTTAGGGTAATGATCGCACAGAAATGTGTAAATGATCACAGTCTATGGGGGGGGGGGTTGGGGCCACAGATTAGCGTCTGTTTGTGTGGGATTGTATTAGTCTGTATCTTTTTACCTGATGGCTAAAGTTCAAGCTGAGGGTGACTAGGCTGTGTATGCATTGTCTGAAATGATGACGGATTATGAGATCACACAAATGTATTGACTACAGTTGAAGAATATGATTTTTGCCCCTCTTTATGTTTTCTCTTAGGGTAAGTGTGCATTGAATTAAAAGAAAAAATCTCTCTTCATACTTCACGTCCCGTGGTGCATTGCGTCTTTCCCAAGCTCTCGCGTGTGCTTCGCTGCCGCCGTTGTTCCATTGAGCTAACCTCAACATGGCATCCGACGGACCGCCGGGCACTGACTCTCTCCCGTCCGATTTGGGGAGTGCTATTGCAGCTCTGAATACATGGAGCATCCCGGATCTTCAGGGCAAGCTGGCAGAGCTGGGAGTACCCAACATGGGTAAGAAGAATACCCGCGTAGAGCACTAACATAGACAGTATTTGGCTATCGGCAGCTAGCCAGTTGCTAACTTTAGCTAGTAGCGTTAAAACGCAATGCTTCCGTTGCAACGAGTTTAAGCTAGGCCTGCGTTATGTTTACACTCTGTTGAGTTCATTTCACGCACTAATTAATCGAGTACGTGACATTTTAATCCCTGTGATGCAAGTTGGATAAAGTTATGAACATTTGGTTAGCTATTTTCCTTAATATGAGTTCTGTAACTAGTGCAGCGGTTTAGCTGCTTTGCTAACTTAGCTAGTTTTGCACAACTTTGAAATGCGCTCAGAGTTGTTCTGGTACATTTTTGGTGTACATATTACAAGCCTAGATTCATATCTACCTTGTTTAACAGCTGTTTCCGATTCATTCTTTCTCTCTTTAGGTCCCAGAGAGGAGTTGATTGACAGACTGAAGGGCTACATGATGCAGGTAAATGCGTTTAAATTCAGTTTTATCCGGTCATCGCTCAGCTGTTTGGTATGGTGATGAAGCTTTTTCTAACTGTTGATGACCTTTCAGGCTACACTAGAGTAATCTTGAATAAAGTCTGAGGAAAAGTTATTAGTAAATCCTAGCTATCCTAGCTCTGTTTCTCTGACCTCCCCGCCTTTTCTTTAAAATGAAAGAAACTGTGTCTTGAATGTGTCCCTCCACAGACTGGGATTCTCCTCAGCAAACCTGATGATAAACAAATGGGCTCCCAGGTAATTTGGAGGGAAACGCTGATATCTGTTTAATACTGCAGTATACAATGGTGAACCACATGTCAGTGTAGTGTTTTTTCTATATTTTGATTTACATGTTTAACGGTTGCCATTTTTGAACACTGGACCAGCTTTTTATCCTCCATCCATCCATCCATCCATTCGCGTCCGCTTATCCTTTTCAGGGTCACGGGGGGCGCTGGAGCCTATCCCAGCTGTCATAGGGCGAGAAGCGGGGTACACCCTGGACAGGTCGCCAGTCTGTCGCAGGGCCAACACACAGAGACAGACAATCATTCGCACTCACATTCACTCTCACATTCACACCTAGTGACAATTTGGATTATCCAAAGCTTTTTATCCTCTCAAGGATATTTGAGGTGTGTGTGAGTTTGCCCATCCAGTCTACCGCTATTTGTTTTGCGGACTTTGAGAAGGCATTTACCCTGGTCCTTCGCAGTGTCCTATGGGGCTGCTTCATTAAAATGGGTGTTTGGCCCATTTTTACAAGCCATTTGGTTCCTCTACAAGTGTCACAAGAGCTTAGTCCACAACAATTAGTCTGATGCGTTTCCAGTCGGTGCTGGACTCAGGCAGCACTGCCCTGTGTCACCAATCCTCTTCAGTTTTTAAGATCAGAATCGTTGGCATAGCCAGGAGGCAGAAGGCTTCCACCTTAGTGGCCTCAGGATTTAGTCTGTGAATAACTAAAGCAAGTTCATAGACAAGGTATGCAAAATTTACAGTGTTACACGTTTACTTAACAAGGAAAAGATCCCGTTCTAGGAGGACATGCTTCTCGTTCTGTCAGGGCGGGCTTCTACTAAATCAAATATAATAGAGCTATCTGCTGTTTTAACTCAACGGAGCAGACGAAAGTACCTTTATTCAATCATAAGTTTTCACTCTTGCAAATGTGTTACAGTTGAGTATGTTTTGTCTGTTTGTAGACCTCTGCTAAATGGTGCTAAGAAGCAATTTACTAAAACAGAAATTCACTGAACACCTTAATATCTCACTCAGATGGTCACACAAACAAGTTCACTTCAGTCTTTCGCGCTTCACATTTACATCAGTCTCCTGTATTTCCTCCTCTCTAGATGCCAGGTATCCCTGCCATGCCCCCAATGCCTATGCCCCCCATGCCTCCTGGTATGGGTATGATCCCAGCTATGAGCATGATTCCTAGCGGGCCCCCTCCACCCGGTATACACATGGGCATGGACCACTCTGGTTTGCCACCACCTGGCCTCACACAGGATGATCAGCTGAAGATGGCTCAGCATAGAGCAGCCATGATGTTACAGCAAGAGGAGAGAGCCAAGCAGGTGAGGATAGCTGGACCTAAAGTTTAATGTTTCACTCATTTTTGCCATTTTTCTTTGCATTCAAAGCGTAGAGTTCAGGGCTCTAGACTAACTTTTTGCCAAGGTTTGCACTGGTGCGCCTAACTCTTTATTTGGAGCACAGTTCTACAAGAAAAATACTTTACTGAAAAAGTGCTTGTGCTTAAAGTGCTTTGGCACTCTTTGGCAATATTGTAGACAATGTTAAACTTAATCATCATCTCGGCCTCTGAGAGAGAGAGAGAGGGGACACTTGGGCCGTGCATTTATCGCTGCATAAAATGTGTTTTCTGGATGCACTGTGCTTTTTCAGCGTTCAGAGATTGATGGCTCTGTGTCAGAGCACTGGCTATGAATTTCAGACGGATCAGGCCTTAACTTAGAGAAAAAATAATCAATAGTTCTTTTCATCTTTTGTCATTACCCAAAGCTACATCCACTTCTGTCGGCCTAGGCTACTCACTAGGGCTGGGTATCATCACTTTTTTCTACAATCCATTCGATTGTGATTCACAAGGTGCTGATTCGATTCGATTCAATTTTGCCTCACAGTCAGAAATATTATAATTCTGATCATTTATCAGTACTGACACTTGTGAGACTTCATCAGAGGAGTAAGCATCACAGCAGATGCCTTTGTGTCAAAGTAACTGAGAATAAAACTCAGAAAAACATGAAGGAGATTTTCCTGGCCTGGCTTTTTATAGCAGATAACCTTAAAAATATTCTGTAATTTTGCATAGTTTTAAAAAGTTTAAACGTCTTCAGTATTGAACAGCAGAAATCAGGCTTTCTTGTCCGAGGTCATTTAAGTTAAAAAAGAAAGAAAAGGCAGCGTCCGACAGCGCTGTAAACAACAGTGAGTTTATCGTGGTGGAAACAAAACAGCAAACGTGAGAGAAGATTACTGATGATTTATCAAATGTGAAGTGTAGTTTGGATCTTCTTTTGCTGCTGGTTCAGTGAATTTGGGTTTGAGAAAGACAAAATCTGCAGCTCAGAATCGAACGCAAAAAAGACGTAAACACAAAGTGGCAAATCGCAGACGCATCAGAATCAGTGAGCTGTCTGCTTTCAGCCCCGACGGTGTGTACGTGTCGCCGAGTGAGAAAGCCGAAAAAGAGAAAGCTGATTCTGATGCGTCGGGTCCGCTCGGTGTTTACGCCTTTGTGTGGAATCCGTTTACCTGCTCTCATTTCCTGATTGGAGGTTGTTGAAATAGTTTTGTGAGCTTTAACCTGAGCTCCTGGCGTTTCTGGCAAAACACATATTCAAAAGTCGAGTCAGGATTTAATGAATCAATATCGCTTTTTTTTTAAAGTCACACTATTGAAAAATGTGGTCGCACTCTAGAGCCCTGGAGT